TTGTGAGCTAATGGAAGCTGTCATCTCTATCACTCTCTTTGAGAGTTGCATGATGCTTGAGATCCTAGAACACCCCCATCATGTAATTTCTGAATTCTTAAGGTTTGAGTGTATGGAAAAATATAGTTACAAAGGTGTAATAATCATGTGGATATTAATGCTTCTATCCTAATGAAATACTTGATAGCATGTTCTTCTATCCTTCCTATTTACCTTGGAAGCAATGAAGCTCCTTCCTTGTGTCTGTGCACTTGTTTAACTTATGCTACCACTTAAAAGTGCAATACCTTTGATGACTTGTTACCAAAATACATAAAAGTTTAATGCTCATTTAAGATTAGAATTTGTGATTGACACTAGAGAGATTATATTACATATCATATTTTGCCTAGCTACCCTGTAGAATCTTCTCCCAGTCTGAACTTCTTCTAATTGAATGCACAGCAGATGACTTACGGCACCTATATTTTGCATATATATTTTCTTAGTTAAATTTTTTATGGATTTTTTTTGTTACCCTGTAATCAGGTTGACATCATAGGAGTTGGTTGCTATTCTTCCAAGGATTTGTGGACATGGAAAAATGAGGGCATTGTGTTGACTGCAGAAGAGACAAATGAAACCCATGATCTACACAAATCCAATGTATTGGAGCGGCCAAAAGTTATTTACAATGACTACACGGGAAAGTATGTAATGTGGATGCATATTGACGATGTCAACTATACTAAAGCTGCTGTTGGTGTTTCTGTTAGCGATAACCCGACAGGTCCTTTTGATTATCTCGGTAGCCAAAGACCACATGGATACGAGAGCAGGGACATGACCATCTTCAAAGATGATGATGGAGTAGCATATCTAGTTTATTCATCCGAGGACAACAGTGAGCTTCACATTGGACTACTAACCAAAGATTATCTAAATGTGAAGCCTGAAATGCAAAGGATTCTGGTCGGACAGCACCGGGAAGCCCCTGCTCTGTTCAAGTACAGGGGGACTTATTACATGATCACCTCTGGTTGCACTGGATGGGCACCGAATGAAGCACTCGCTCATGCAGCTGACTCGCTCATGGGACCATGGGAGACAATGGGAAACCCATGCATTGGAGGGAACAAAGTGTTTCGACTTGCAACATTTTTCGCTCAGAGTACATTTGTGATTCCTTTGCCCGGGATTCCAGGTTCATATATTTTCATGGCAGACCGGTGGAATCCAGCCGACTTAGGTGACTCAAGATATGTATGGCTACCCTTAATAGTTGGTGGCCCTGCCGATCGACCTTTTGAGTTCACTTTTGGATTTCCACTGTGGCCGCGGGTGTCCATATATTGGCATCGGAAGTGGAGACTTCCCTCGAGTTGGAGTGTGTAGAAATGATCTCATTTTTCTTCTTCCCAAATATATGGTATTAGTGTATTATATATTAAGGCTGTTCGTCTATTCTTTCACCACATCACATGGTTATCTCTACGATTTCCCCACTTCACACACTGCAATAATTTGATGTACATGTTTGATCTCCTGCACTGTCATTGAACTTACCAAGTTCATGTACTTTAGTAAGATCAGCTTTTGAGGATTGTAGATTTTGACACATAAATTTACTTTTCTGGTTGAAGCCTTTTCCTAAAAATTTCGCTCACTCAGATTTTATATTGTATGAAGGATGAAAATATTATTAACCAAATAGTTCAAATTCATAATTTTTATTTTATTTTGAATGTTAACTCTTTGATTAATAACATTTTTACTCTTCCTCGTTTCCGTAAGTTGTAGTGCCATGACCTATTTTTCGTCATTGATTGATGTAAAAGTGTAATGGTTTGGGCTACGCCTATGATTTCTTTGAAAAATCCATATCCGGCTCAAGTTGGGTCCAACCTAACTCGAATGTCCATTTTACTATTAAAAAATAATATAAAATTAATATTTATATTATTGTTGTGAGTGTGAATAGTATATTGTTATATTGTGAGTGTTATACCTTATTATATTATATCAAAAGTATTGTTAAATCTGAACTCATTAAGTTGACTCAGTGGAGGGGAAAATCAATTCAATCTCAAGGAGATAAATCCGGAGAATATCATGAAGTTTCCCATTCTAAGATTTTTTCCAACAATAGAGTTGAACTTGTAATCTAGGTCAAATCTGTAAAACTACCTGGCTTAAACACTGCCACAACTATCAATGCCGCGAATCTGGGTAATGTAGCAGCGGGTCAGAATATTAAAGAGGCTTCCCACGTGTCTGCTCTTGGAGATGACGTGGCGAGAGTTCAGACAGCTACCACTGCCCCGTGACCACTAGCCTTCACGTGACGTCCACTCTGCATGAGAATAACGTTAACAAAGCCATACACCATTCCAAAACTTCTCCACCTCTTAATTCCTCAAACCCTACTCTGTGGTTTTAATTCAATATCCTTTTCAGGTCCTAAGCTAGATGGGATAGTTAACCTGAATGGATAAAATTTTAACTCAAGCACTAACCCAATCTTTGAAAATTCTATAGGTGCAGGTGCAAGAGTATCGACCACATCCTTGAATCTGGAATTTCACAAAGCGATCTCCTTTAACGTGGAAGGTAATACATCAGCATCAGAACAGTGAAACTCCTCCTTTATTCCCATCTCTCGTCGAAGTGTTGGTTCAAAATATAGAGCAACACCCCAGGCTATTCGTACCAATTTAGTCAAACATAACTCACTCTTGTCCCCCAGTTAAAGAGGCAATGGAACAATTAATAACTTCGTAAAAATATTATATTTGGGGCTTTTTATATAAGTTGTTGATTGTCTTAAAGGTTCATATAAATTCATTTAGATGTATTTAGTAGCATGTGGTTGCAATTTGTAGATTTATTTTATCTTGACATTTTATTTTGTGAATGGTGTTATTTTATAGGGAATGTTTGGTTTGAATGTTGATGTGCAGGTTATAAGGACAAGGGTGTGTGAGGAGAATTGTGAGGAGAATTGCTATGGTAAACTTGGATGCTGAAGCAGAATGTCACGCTATTTTTGGACGTAAAAGAAGATAAAGGAGTTGGAGATATTGAAGATGAACACAAAAACAACTGTCAATTTATAGGAGGGGTCCACTGTCACCTAGTTTACTACCATTAAGGGGAATGTATTTTAGGGTATCATTGTAATTTTGACAAAAAATCTCAAGTATATTCCTTTATTATATATATATATATATATATATTATGACTGTTGTTTGTTCCCCTTCTCAAATTCTTTAGAATGGTACCATGTTCGATGAATTCAAACCGTTCAGAGGTATAAGACAATTCTACCCTCTCTCCCCGTATCTTTTTGTCCTCTACATGGACGCCTTCAGCAAATCGTACATTGCGCCCTAGATATTGGTCTTTGGGAACCTATCATCATTTCCCGTATAAGCCTCGCCTCTATCCCACCTCTTCTTCGTGGATGATCTCGTTCTTCTCTGCAAGGCCACTCACAATCAATCTAATCTGGTGAGGACGATCCTTGGCTAGTTCAGCTGCTTTTCGGGTCACAAGGTAAACTCGAGTAAAACTAAGATGTTCTTCTCTGTAATCATCGATGATAGCACTGCTAATGGTTTATGCTCAACCTTAGGCTTCCAGTGTTGTACTGATCTTGGGAAGTATCGTGGCATGTCTTTATTCCATAAGATGGTAATCAAGAGCACTTTCGAGTTCATTATCGATAAGGTTTGGGCTAAGTTCAATGAGTGGATTGCTGCTAAATTATCCCTTATTGGTCGTACGACTCTTGCCAAAGCCACTCTTCTGGCTATCCTGAATTATTTTATGTAAACGATGTCTATTTCGAAAGGTGTTTGGGATCAAATCGAAACAATAACCCGTCGCTTCATTTGGGGGGTGGTTCCACAGCCAAGCCACAAACTGCCATAGTCAACTTGCTGTCAGCCCCAAGCCAATGGTGGCCTCAGCATTCATCCTCTAAGACCACAAAATGTTGCGTTCCTGACCTAGCTGGGTTTCAATTTCCTAACACATCCTGATGCCCTTTGGGTTCAGATCCTCAAATCCAAATATAAAGTTTACGAACCCATGCCTAACCACATTCCTATATGCAATAGCTCTTTTATTTGGAAGTCACTCTCACGTGCGTGGGAGTACATTCATAGCAATGCTGGTTGCTCTATTAGCAATGGCAGAAGAACCAAGTTTTGGACTGACGCCTAGATTCCCAACTCGGGACCTCTTACTGACTCTAACCCAGCCGATCGATTTTCGAACACCCATGTTGTAGTGCGAGATTATGATACTAATGATCGTAAATGGAATCTTTTGATCTTACAGAGCCTCCTTGATATTGAGACGGTTAGCCGTATCATAGCCACTCCCCCTCCATTTGATAGCATTAGCGATGACTTACCCTTTCGGCGTTGGGATAACATTGGTCTTTATTGGAAAACTAGATTGAGCTTTAATGTTGAACAAACATAGAATGTTTTCTCTGTTAATTCTAGTGATGGTGTACATGATTTTATAATAGCTAACAGAAGCTTGGCACAATTCTAGAAGCTCTGTAACTGCCTCAACTGAACACTAACTGCTCTTAATTAACTCTAGTTATTTAGTTCTAATATTCCCTCTACTTTCTCCTCCTCCTTCAACAAGGTAACATACACATCTTAGCCCTGAACAATTGAAAAGATGAACAATTGAATTGAAAGTGTTGATGCTTCCTTCCGTTCACTTGAATCGAAAGTGCCGATGCTTCCTTTCGTTCTTCTTGAATCAAAAGTGCCGATGTTTCCTTCCGTTCACTTTGAATCGAAAGTGTTGATGTTTCCTTTCGTTCTTCTTATTCACCTTCATTTCTTTCTTCTTCACCCTTTTTTACAAGGTTCCTTGACACATTTTTTATGGACTCTTGGTTCTGAAGCTTTCAAGTCCCATAACACTTTGAGATAGAAACAACAAAATGAATACAAAATTAAACTTCTATTTACACACACAAAAGGATTATACTACTATGCATAAATAGCTGCAGTGTGGTACTCTCCACATGACACCTGGGTAATTTTCACAAGCTCAGGAGCCTCATCAAGGAATTTTGCACATGTATTTATCACACGAGCCCCCTGTAATCCTTCGGAAATGACGCCTCTGCCTAGCTGACCATACTCATTATAGCACCCCACGTGAATAATGACCCATCTGAGGCCACCACCGCAAGCAGTATCCAACCAGTGGGGATTTGTCCCCGCCGGACACCCAAAAAACTTCTCCAAGAACCCAACGGAATTTGCTGGACAGTGGTCGAGCACGGCGTTCATGCCTTTAGCTACGAAAGTGAAAGATCTACACGAAAGCTTCTTTAAGCCCCTACAGTTCTTAGAGAAAGCCGATATTCCGGCATCGGTCAAGTCACGGCAAGTTCGGAGCTTAAGGCGAGTCAAGTTCCGGTAGCGCTCCGAGATTAGAACAAGCGCTTCATCCCCGATGCTAATAGAAATACGGTCACATTTCAGGGCCAGTTTCGTGACAGTATCAAAGCGAGAGAAGATGGAAGGAATCAAATGTTGCAGATCTGACTGGGCGTTGAGGGAAAGTCGATGACGGCTCTGTCCTTCAGTCCTCAACCACCGCCGGCAAATAAGAGAGCAGTGTTTCCGGTCATAGGGGCTAAGAAACTGGAAAATGCAAGCCAAACACTCGTCGGGCAGAACTGAGATGAAATCAGATAATCCATCCATACTACTTCGGTCAAGCTTTTCAGCTTCCTGAGATTGCATCGGAGAGAAAACAACAACAACAAACGCAAGCGGAAAAGATGGCCGCATGATCATCAGCGAATGATACCATATTGGAAAACTAGATTGAGCTTTAATGTTGAACAAACATAGAATGCTTTCTCTGTTAATTCTAGTGATGGTGTACATAATTTTATAATAGCTAACAAAAGCTTGGCACAATTCTAGAAGCTCTGTAACTGCCTCAACTGAACACTAACTGCTCTTAACTAACTCTAGTTATTTAGTTCTAATAGTCTTTGTACGGTCAAATCGACCTTCCGTGAAATCCAAAGGAACTTTTGTTCTAATCAGAATAATATTTAGAACACGGTTTAGGGCTTCGATGGACCTCAACGCATTAGACAATTCCTTTGGTTGGTGCTTCGAAATCGGTTCATGACCAACCTCGAACCTGCTAGGCGTGGAATCACGACCGGCCCTCTTTGTTCAGTTTGTAAATTTGATGGGGAATCCATTTCCTATGTCCTTGCATATTGTAGTTGCTCAAATGGTGTGGTTACTATTAGAGGTGTTCAAAAATACCCGATATGATTGACCTGACCCATCGACCCACGGACCTATTCGAATATTGTCATATATTTATATTGAAAATATCTAAATGTTTGGGTCGAATACCCGACCCGCTATTTTCTCGGGTTTTCGAATCAGATCTAAGTTACAAAATATTACTTACCCGGGTACGCGTCGACCCGGTACCTGTTAGATATGAAACAAATAAAATGACACTTTTTACTTATTTGGAGAGGTCTTTTGTTCATTTGTTGTACTAGAGATTTACTCAACCTTCTATTTTCAAGTTCAAATGTGTAGTAATTATTATTGTTTAAATACAATAAATAACCAATTGATGCATAAGTAAAACAATTAATGCATGAAACATGCATAAATTTTTTAGTGCAGAATGTTTTAGTGTTGAATGCAGAAAAATTAGTGCAGAATTTGAAAAAAAAAGGGGATCCTAATACCCGAACCAACAGTCGGGTACCCTGATATTACGGGTCGAATCATGGGCTGATTTTTAGTACCCGAACAACCCGTGTAGCCGGTACTTCGTGTACCTAAAAAACGCGGGTACCCTGTTTTGAACACCCTTATTTGCAGCTTATCCCTACGCCCAAACTTTCTTCTCGTTCACTTTCGTAGAATGGTTGACAAGCAATCTCTGTGGAAATTCTGGTCTTGACAGCCCCAACTACCATTGAAGGCATTTGTTTGATATTATTGTTTGGAGAATGTGTGAACAATTTAACTCTTTTATTTTTGATGGACAGATTTGGTCTTCTAACCATTCGTTTTGCTATGAGGTGGGTTTGTACAATTCGGAGCAACACCCTTAACTCTCACAGGCGCCGTAGAAGAGAAGACAGAACCGACAAATGGATTCCTCCTAAATAGGGTGTGTTGAAACTCAACAATGATGGTGAAGTTAACCCGATAACCTCGGAAGCCATCTATGGCAGAGTGTTTCGGGATAACAATAGACGTTGGATCGTCGGGTTGGAAACTGCTCGCCTCTCCATGTTGAGTTTCATGCAATTCTGGATACACTTTTAATTGCTTGGAACCATGGTGCTCGCCAGGTTGAAGTCAATACCGATAATAGCCAAGCAGGGGCGGATGCATATGGCCATATATGTTAGAAAAGTTAAAATTGGGGAATAAGGAAAATCAATTAAGGGATGATCGATTCAAAAAGGGTGGACATCGAATTCGGTGCCCAATTTTTATTAAAAATAAAAATGAAAAATTATATTTTAGTCCCTGTATACTTTAGGGTATTTACAAGATTAGTCCTTAAGCTTCAACTATAAATACCTTAACTCATTTAACTTCAAAATCATCCTAAATTATTTTCTTTCTCCCAATATTAGAAAGTTTTCTTATGAGTGTTTTGTAAACATCTGTAAATTTTCTCTCTTTAGTAAAAGATCAGCAGCAGTACGGAGACGTATGCAAAATTGACTAAACTCCGTTATCAATTTCGGGTATTATTTTTTCGTTTTTATTTCGCATTTTCACTAATCTGATTATAGGAAAATTACTCGTTTATTTCCCAACAACTAGTAGCAGAGCTTTTGGTGGTTAATTTTGTCGGTTTTTCTGTGAGGTTACTATTCACATAAATAGTGAATTCGTGAATAGTAAAATTTGGTCGGTGATACGAATTTGTCGACAGAGGCGTTCTAATACACGGTGGTTCACAAGAATTGTAAAAAACGATCCAAAAGAAACCAGATCCGAGTAAGAGCGATGGCTGCAGACGAATGGAATGTCAAAATTGAGATGTTCGATGGTGCGGACTTTGGCTTTTGGAAGATGCAGATTGAAGATTTTTTGTACCAAAAAAAATCTATATAAACCTCTCTCAGGAAAGCAACCAGAGGACATGGAGAATGAAGACGAGGTTTTTCTCGACAGACAAGCCCTCAGAGTTATCTGACTGATGTTATCCCGAAATGTTGCTTTCAACATAGCAAATAAAAAGACCACGATGAGTCTTATAGCGACTCTCTCCAATATGTATGAGAAGCCATCGGCCTCAAACAAAGTTCACTTGAAAAATGTTAGTTTCAAAGTTTGATAAATGTTTCTTTGAAAAATGTTTTTCAAAGTTTGGTAGATGTTTGTTGAAAATAGGAATGAGTAAATTCACTTTAGTCATTGCACTTTAGGGTATTTTCAAAGATTAGTCCCTAAGTTTCAACTATAAATACCCTAACTCATTTAGCTTCAAAATCATCCTAAAAATCATTTCTTTCTCCCAATACTAGAAAGTTTTCTTGTGAGTAGTGAGTGTTTTGTAAACACCTGTAAATTTTCTCTCTTAGTAAAAGATCTGTAGCAGTCCGGAGACGTAAGTAAATTGGTTGAACTCCGTTATCAATTTTGGGTATTATTTTTCCGTTTTTATAGGGAAATTACTCGTACTCTGTTTAATTCCCAACAACTGGTATCAGAGCTTTTGGTGGTGAATTTTGTCAATTTTTGCGAGATTATTATTCATTACTATTCATACTATTCACATGAATAGTGAATTTCGTGAATAGTAAAAATTTTATCAGCGATACGAGTTTGTCGATAGAGGTGTTATAATACACGGTGGTTCGCACAAATTATCAGAAACGATCCGAAGAAGCCAGCTTCGAGTTGGAGCAATGACTGCAGACGAAGGGAAGGTGAAAATTGAAAAGTTCGATGGTGCGGACTTTGGCTTTTGGAAGATGCAGATTGAAGATTTTATGTACCAGAAAAATCTATATCAACCTCTATCAGGAAAACAACCAGAAGGCATGAAGAATGAAGACTGGGCTCTTCTTGACAGACAAGCCCTCGGAGTTATCCGACTGTCGTTGTTCCGAAATATTGCTTTTAACATAGCAAAGGAAAAGACCACGACGGGCCTTATGGCGGCTCTCTCCAGTATATATGAGAAGCCATCGGCCTCAAACAAAGTTCATTTGATGAGGCGATTATTCAATTTGTGGATGGCGGAAGGGGCATCAGTGGCTCAACACCTAAATGAACTCAACACAATCATAACGCAGTTGAGTTCAGTGGAAATTGAATTCGATGATGAAGTTCGAGCTTTAATTCTCTTATCATCTCTACCAGACAGTTGGAATGCTACTGTTACAGTAGTCAACAGCTCGTCGAGAAACAGTAAATTAAAATTCGACGATGTTCGGGATCTGGTATTGAGTGAAGAAATTCGACGGAGAGAATCGGGTGAAGCATCAAGCTCCTCAGCCTTGCACACGGAGTCTAAAGGGAGAACTTCATAAAGGAATTCAAATCGTGGCAGATCGAAATCCAGAAGGGGAAAATCAAGAACAGGAAATAAAGATTTTACCTGTTATAATTGCGGCAATAAGGGTCACTTCAAAAGAGATTGTCGAGCACCGAAGAAAAATAACGGCGCACAGAAATCTACCAATATGACGGAGGAGACAGGTAATGCCATGATTCTAAGCGTCAACAGTCCGATTGAATCATGGATCTTGGATTTAGGGGCATCTTTCTACTCCACCCCATGCTAAGAAATCATGGAGAACTATGTCAGTGGTGATTTTGGGAAGGTTCATTTAGCTGATGATGAAACCTTGAAGATCGTCGAAAGAGGAGACATCCGACTAAAGTTGCCAAACTAGACCACCTGGACGCTGAAGGGAGTGAGACATATTCCTGGCCTCAAAACAAATTTGATTTCTATAGGACAACTTGATGGAGAAGGATATAGCACAACCTTTTCAGACTGTGAATGGAAGATTACCAAATGAGCACTCGTCATTGCTCATGGTAAGAAGACCAATACTCTCTATGTAACATCAAATTTAGAGAATATCATTGTTGCAGCAGATGCTGATGGAAAATCAAACTTATGGCCCCAAAGGCTTGGTCATATGAGCGAGAAAGGGATGAAGACACTTTTGTCAAAAGGGAAGCTGCCGGATCTAAAGAATATAGATGTCGGACTATGCGAGGATTGCATCTTTGGCAAACAAAAGAAAGTCAGTTTTACAAAGATTGTCAAGACACCCAAGGCAGAAAAGTTAGAGTTGGTTCATACTGATGTATGGGGACCATCTCCAGTTCCATCTCTTGCAGGCTCACTATATTATGTCACCTTCATCGATGATTCTACAAGGAAGGTGTGGGTTTATTTTCTGAAGAAGAAATCATAAGTCTTTGATACCTTCAGAAAATGGAAGGCCATGGTGGAAAATGAGACTAGTTTGAAAGTCAAGCGGCTGAGGTCTGATAATGGAGGAGAGTACATAAACAACAGATTCAGAGAATTTTGCGTAAGCAATGGGATCAAGATGGAGACAACAGTTCCCATGACACCACATCAAAATGGCGTAGCAGAGCGTATGAACATAACTCTGAATAAACGTGCCAGAAGCATGAGGATACATGTCGGATTACCCAAATTTATATGGGCTGAAGCTATCAACACTGCAGCTTACATGATCAACCGTGGGCCTTCAGTTCCTTTGGATGGCAGAATACCTGAGGAAGTTTGGAGCAAGAAAGAAATAAACCTTTCACACTTAAAAGTGTTTGGTTTTATTTCTTATGTACACATAGATTCTACTGAAAGAAGTAAACTTAATGCCAAGTCCAACAAATGTGCCTTTGTTGGTTATGGCGGTGATGAGTTCGGTTACCAGTTTTGGGACTATGAAAATCGGAAGATCATCAGAAGCAGAGACGTCATTTTCAATGAGAATGTGATGTACAAAGACAGGTCAACCATAGAATCAAGTAGCTCCAATATCGAAGCTGAAATAAAGGAATTTGCTGAGTTCGAGGAGATTTCTGGAAATGATGTTCAGATCAATCCTGAAGCAGTTCAAGAAGAACCACGTACACCAAAACTGAGACGTTCCTCCAGAATTCCTAAACCAACCCAACAGTATTCGCCTTCTTTGTACTATTTGTTGCTGACTGACAATGGTAAACCAGAGTACTATGATGAATCAATGTAGGTGGAGGATTCAGTCAAGTGGGAGTCTTTAATGAAAGATGAGATGGACTCGCTTATGTCAAATCAGACATAGGAATTAGCTGAATTACCACCAGGCAAGAGAGCGCTCCATAACAAGTGGATTTACAGGATCAAAGAAGAGCACGATGGGAGAAAACGCTATAAAGCAAGATTGGTTGTCAAAGGTTTTCAAAAAAAAAAGGTATTGACTACAATGAAATTTTCTCTCCAGTCGTGAAGCTGTCTACAATCAGACTGATATTGAAAATTATAGCTGTAGAGAATTTACATCTTGAGCAGTTAGATGTAAAGACAACTTTCCTTCATGGTGATTTGGAGGAAGAAATCTATATGAGGCAGCCAGAAGGCTTCATAGAGGCAGGCAAGAAAAAACTGGTATGCATGTTGAAGAAGAGCTTATATGGTTTAAAACAAGCTTCTAGACAATGGTACAAGAAGTTCGATAGCTTCATGGGTAGCAGTGGTTTTACCAGATGCCAAGCAGATCATTGTTGCTACATCAAGAGGTTCGACAATAGCTTTATTATTTTATTGTTGTACGTTGATGACATGCTATGAAGGATCTGGGCGCTGCAAAGCAGATTCTTGGGATGAGGATCAAGAGAGACACAAAGTCGGGGACTTTGATGTTATCACAGGCTGAGTACATCAACAAAGTACTCTTCAGGTTCAACATGCAAGATGTTAAACCAGTAAGTACACCTTTAGGTGTTCATTTTAGACTCTCCAAAGAACAGTCACCAAAGACGGAGGAAGAACCTGCACACATGGTGAAGGTGACGTATGCCTCAACAATTGGAAGTCTAATGTATGCCATGGTTTGTACCAGACTAGATATTGCTCAAGCAATGAGAGTTGTTAGCAGGTACATGAATAATCTGGGCAAGGTACACTGGGAAGCAGTCAAATGGATCCTCAGATATCTGCGGGGTACTACAAACAAAGCACTTTGTTTCAAAGGTGGAGATACGATACTGACAGGCTATGTAGATGTTTACTTAGCCGGAAATATTGACATCAGAAGGAGCACTACAGGGTATGTATATACTCTAGGAGGAACTGCAGTGAGTTGGGTTTCTCAACTACAGAAGATAGTTGCTCTCTCCACAACTGAAGCAGAATATGTCGCTGTTACGGAAGCCAGCAAGGAGATGGTTTGGCTCCAAAGCTTATTGAAAGAGTTAGCCAAGAAACAAGAAAACAATGTCTTGTATTGCGACAGTCAAAGTACTATCCATCTAGCAAAGAATCCGTCTTTTCATTACAGGATGAAGCACATACAATTGAGATATCATTTTATCCGATCTCTTCTGGAAGATGGGATTTTGAAACTTGAAAAGATTAGTGGAGCTCAAAATCCGGCAGACATGTTGACAAAGACGATGACTACGGACAAACTGAAGTTTTGTTCAGCTTCAGTTGGCATGCTAGAATAACAAGACCAGAAATATTGCTGCATTGATCAAGGTGTGAAAACATATTAAAATCAGTCTTAAAGTTGGAGATTGTTAAAAGTTAGTTTCAAAGTTTGGCAACCAACTTTGAAAAATGTTTTTCAAAGTTTGGTAAATGTTTCTTTGAAAATTGTTTTTCAAAGTTTGGTAAAGTTTGGTAGATGTTTGTTGAAAATAGGAATGGGTAAATTCACTTTAGTTATTGCACTTTAGGGTATTTTCAAAGATTAGTCCCTAAGTTTCAACTATAAATACCCTAGCTCATTTAGCTTCAAAATCATCCCAAAAATCATTTCTTTCTCCCAATACTAGAGAGTTTTCTTGAAAGTAGTGAGTGTTTTGTAAACACCTGTAAATTTTCTCTCTTAGTAAAAGATCTGCAGCAGTCCGGAAACGTAAGCAAATTGGCTGAACTCCGTTATCAATTTCGGGTATTATTTTTCTGCTTTTATTTTGTATTCTCACTAATCTGATTATAGGAAAATTAATCGTACTCTGTTTAATTCCCAAAACCCTTAACTCTCATAGGCGCCGTAGAAGAGAAGACAGAACCGACAAATGGATTCCTCTTAAATAGGGTGTGTTGAAACTCAACACTGATGGTGTAGTTAACCCGAGAACCTCGGAAGCCACCTATGGCAGTGTTTGGGGATAACAATGGACGTTGGATTGTCGGCTTTCACCGTCGCATTGGAAACTACTCGCCTCTCCATGTTGAGTTTCATGCAATTCTGGATGGACTTTTAACTGCTTGGAACCATGATGCTCGCCAGGTTGAAGTCAATACCGATAATAGCCAAGTGGCTGGAGTCCTAAATTCTAAGTCGCATGGTCAAGAAGTAGCCATTCTTAGAAGAATTCGACACATCCTCCAGTTTCAATGGTCTGTTGAGTTTACTCATTCTTGCAGGGAATTAAATACCGTTGTTGATGCTCTTGCTCACCTCGGCTACACCGAAAATCTGGATTTTACTGTCCTTCACCATCCTCCTGATGGGTTTCATAAACTCCTCTCCAGAGATATGGCTGAGGCTTGCTGAATAGTCTTACTGCTGTGCAGTCCTCTCTCTATTGTGTTATAAAAAAATATTATTTTCTTTAAAGTTCTTAACAATTAGATACATAGTTATTATATTAAAAATATTAAAAATATATAATATTTTATAATTAATTTAGATTATTTTAAAATATAGATAAATATATTTATGATGTGCTTAAAGTGAGGAGCGAAGTAGTTTAAGATGTAAACCCCTAAAAAGTAACCATTATACAAATTTAAATTGTTTACTTTTCTTTCCTTTTGTATGCGGGCCAAAAAGGAATGAAATCATATTTTTTTGTCAAGGGCAGAACGAAACCTTCTCCCTTCGGGGAAAAAAAGAGAGAGATATTAAAAGTTAAAGTAATATTTGTATCAATACATTAAAAATTTATCAATATTTATTTTAAGATAAAGTATATGAATGATATTCGATTGTAAGACACTGTTTTGTTAGGTCTTTGATTATTAAAAGTTACAAAATAATATTCTGATTGTAGTACATTTTGTTGAGTCTATTGACTATTAAAAGTTACAAAATACTCACCCGACTATTTATATATTCAAAATTGGTCTTTTTCTGTTAAAAGATTGACAATCGTCTAAGTTAGATGTTAACATGCTGACTGAAATATGATAGTAGTTTGAAATTTTAGGATTAAATTTTATCACATTCCACTAAGAAATTTAATATATGGCTCAGACAATTGTCATTTTTTTTGACCAAAAAAGACGAGTTTGGAATATATAAATAGTCAAATGACTCTTTTGTAACTGTTAATAGTTATGGAACTCAACAAAGTAGCATCCTATAGTCAATAATCATTTTATAACTTTTAATAGTAAGATGACATGAACCAAAATACTTCAGTAGTTAAATAAATTGTTGTTATTCCTAGAGATCCTAAATTCGAGCACCTTCGATTGTAGCGTGAACAATTAAGCGTTTATTGTCAAATGATTGAAAGTATTTATTTTATAATCTATCTTAATTTAATAAAAATAATAATAATTAGATGACTCAGAGAAATAATATGGTATAATCGGGTGATTATTTGTGTCTTTACCCTTATTTTAATATTATTAAAATTTTAAAGAAGTTCTATTATATAATTTACAATTAATATATACGTTAAATCTGGGAGTGCCAATTATATTCTAACACATGTAAGTATATTGTCTAATTTCCTTAATAATTAATTTCCCTAAGCTGATATCACCTTTTTACACCAAATTCCAACTCCATTTTACTTTTGGATCAACATTTATTTAAAGTACCAGTTAGTAGTTAGTATTGATATTTATTAAAATTCTGAAAATAGGATTTTTCAAATATAATAATTTAACTCGAAAATATAATTTTCATTCGGCTAACTGAACCACTAACCCTTTCAGAATGTTTGCCCAGTTCAATTTATAAAAATAAAAATATACAAATCGATTTTGCTAATTCAGTTGTCAATTTTTATATCATTCCGTGCAAAAAAAGAAAAAAAGAAGCCTACCGCCGTGGTCTAAGGCCGCCATGCACTGGCCCAAACCACCGGCTGATCTTTCCAAGACAAAAATATTCCGGCGTCGGAACACTGTGCCATTGACCAACCTTCCTTGTACCTTCTCAATAAGGCGGGTACATCATCACACACTTCATCGCTCAAAACACCTGGGCCAAACCCACTTCCACGGAAGCGTCTTGACCACCGCGCCGCAGGCTCGCGTCTCTCTATGGACTGGGACGGCGAGCAAGCCACCAATTCAACTGTGGCTCGCCCAGCGGCTCGTTCCAGCATCAACCTTTCATTGCTTGTTTTAGGAAAGCTGTCGTCCAATGCTTCGAAATAAACCCTAAACCACCTTAAACACTCTTGGAAACCCTTAACGAACTCCAAACCATCAACCCCAACATCGAGATCAGCTTCTTCTTCGACGACGGTGATTATTCTCGGCTGCAGTTTCTTGAAATTAGATATCATCATATCTCTACGATTATCAACGGTTCCGATCGAATGCAACGTCCCAACACAGTTGATGGCCAAGGCTTCATCTTCTTTGACACCGAGTTTTGATAAATCTAAGTCACATGTATCACCGGCATGGTGTATTACATTGAATTTAAAGGGAACACCCATAAGCCTAGCGAACTTTTCTATTCGGCTTCCGATTTCTTTCATTATATCATCGACTGCAGCTAAGCTTCCTCCTGCTCCTGAAGAACCTGAAACGCCGCCGTTTCTGCTCGCAACAATCGTGGTTAGCCTCAACTGTGGGGTTTCATTTGTGCGGGTGGCTAGGGCTTCAAGCAAAGTAGGCCATTGGGTGCAATAAGTGTTGCTTATATCAATTATATGTAATTTGCTTTCACTTTCGAAAGCTTCCATGATTGCACCATTACAAGCAACGTGACCAAAAGTAGTCCAGGGACTTACCTCTTGGAACTTCAATACCATCTTCCTCGTTGACTCGAATGAACATGATTTCTCAGACGCCGAGGCTAACGTTCGATAGAAACGCTCACCGGAGTCGGTCATGCGGCTAAACAAAGCTTGAAGGAAGTAATAACCAAGCTTTTGGTCGGTGTCACCGTAAGGTGAGCTAAGCTCGTTGATCATCCACATGAGTTGTTGGAAACGTCCGCTGTTCCGACAAGCGATAGCGGTTGCTGTTTCCAGGAGGATATCGGTAGCCCACTTGTCGGAGAAATCGAAGTTATTCAGGTCACGAGCAGGGGAGAAAGTAGAGAATTCAGAAGTTTCAAAGGCATGGTGTCTACCAGTGGGAGTTGTGGTGGTGCCAGCGGCGTCGGTGGTTGTGGAGGTGGCAGAAGGATGGGAATGATAAGGATAGTAGTGTCTAGAAGAAGACGAAGGGAAATCATCTTTATCCATGAAAAAGTTGAAGCATTCTTCGTATGGTTAGAGACCCGAAAATTCGGAACCATCTAATACCAAATAACAAGACACCAATAGTAAACACAAACAAACAAAATTTTGCATGAACCAAACGAGTTAGTGGTTAATAAATGTATTATTATTAGTTGAAATTTTAAATTTTAACAACATGTATGTAAAAGATTAAATGTTTAATTATTGAATGTATTTGAATTTATATTATCTTGTATTAGTTTTAAATTTATAAAATTAAAAATAATTTATTAAAAAAAGTAAAAAACTATTTGGAGTTAAATAATATTTTTTTTAGTTTACTAGAAATGTAATTATCTTTTTTGAAAAGAGGAAATGTAAATTAGTAATCTCTAAAATAGGTAAATAATATTTTTGGTATAAATGCATATGATCAATTTATTTATGATTAATTAATTTAGATGCCTATTATTAAAATGATGAAATAATCTTTTTAATTTACTTCACGTACAAGATCAAAAATTATTTTTCTTTAAAATAATTTAATATTATCTCACTATTCCAATCAAAAGTCGATAAAATAAAATGCTTTTGAATTCTTTTTTTTTTTAAAGAAAGATTCACTTCAATTATGGTGACCACTTGTTCTTGAGTTGGATAAGTTTAGGCACATAATTTAGGGTTCTTTCAAGGATTGGGATTTAGCAAAAAATCGGAAGGCGGTTCAAATATTAATGATTGGATAAGGGATTTCATTTATTTGACAAAAAATATCATCTAACTGTGAGTAAGAAAAGAAAAGTAAGACTTGTCTCATTTTAAGTGGACGAAAGGTTTAGTCCACTACGACTAGATTTCATTTCAATAAGCTTTGGATGGATTGTGGGTATGGGGGAATGTTTAAAGAGAGACAAAAGGAAGAATAAAGAAAAGAAAAAGGTTTCTTTTTGGGTAATCGATGTATTAGGTGGCCGCTGCTTTAAGAATGGAATTTGTGTCTGACAAAAGATGAAAGAGATTCCAAAATTTTGATGGGGAATGTGATACCATACCATACCACAGTTAATTAGTATAAAAAATGAAAGACATAAAAGATGATTAGTGTAGCATATGAATTCATAGGTATAGGTGGTAGGGGGAGCAGGCGTCGGGAACGGGTTTATGATTGTGAGGCTTAGATAATTGGAGACTAAAGCTGCTGCCGTCTATCATCACACCCACATGTAGGGGGTGTAAACGAGCCGAATCTAATTCGAATATTATTGAGCTCGATTTGACTCAAAAATTCAATAACTTAAAATTTTTAAGCTCGACTTGAATTCGAAATTTTGAACTGAAGCTCGTGAGCAGCTTGAAATGAAAAAAAAAAACTTAATTCGATTGAAACCTCAAACTTAAACTTAAACATGAACTTTAAATACATGAAAATTTTATTATGTTTTTAAAAAAAATTCAACACATAAATGTTAATATTATTAATAGTTTATTTTAAAAAAATAAAATTTTAATATATTATATTTTCGATTTGCTTATGAGCTTTTCGAGTTAAGTATCAAAGTAACTCGTTTCGGCTCGTTAAGAACTCGAGTTGAGTTCGAGCTCGAGTCGAGTCTATTCGACCCAAATATTTATCGAGCATTAAACTAATCGATCTCGAGTACCTAACAATATGTCTCATCTCATTTTCATTCCTACCCACTACCATCACCTTCAATGAATCTTGGGAAGATCAATTGGATTACATTATTCATATATTTAACAAGTTATTTCAAATTTTATTTTTTTATTAATATTAAAACAATACAAATATATTTTTAAAAATATTTCATTTAAACTCATTTATTTATATACATTTTAATAATTTTAGTTATTTTTCCTTTTTTACGTAATTTTTTAATTTTATTTAATGTATGTTATATTTATCTTTCATCATCATAAATAGGCAATTTTTTCGATATATCACCGGTGACTGGTAATATTATCGATCTAACACCGGTCATACTATATTTCTCGATCTAACACCCTTAGCAGTAAAGTGCCCCCTGCACCGCGCTATACGATGATTTGGCGCCACGTGGGGTATAGCACCCCCTATACCGCGCTATACGGTGAGCTGGCGTCACGTGGATATAGCGCGGCC